AGTAGCAGTAGTATGAGACAAATTAAGATTGGCCCTGCAAACAGCAGCAGTAGCAAGGGGGCAGTAGTGCGAACAAACAGCAGTAGCAGCAGAAGTAGTAGCAGCAGCAGCAGTGTTAATGGTAGTAGCAGGAGAAGGAGTACTAGAAGTAGTATTGTAAGGGGGCAGTGGTACAAGCAAACAGCAATAGCAGCAGTGTTAATAGTAGTAGCAGGAGTAGGAGTAGCTGGAGTAGTATTAGAAGGGGCAGTGGTACAAGCAAACAGCAGTAGCAGCATAAGTAGTAGCAGCAGCAGCAGCAGTGTTAATAGGAGTAGCAGGAGTAGGAGTACCAGAAGTAGTAATTGAAGGGCAGTACTACGAGCAAACAGCAGCAACAGTATCAGCAGCAGCAGCAGTGTTAATAGAGGTAGCAGGAGCAGAAGTRCCAAAAGTAGTATTTTAAGGGCAGTATTACGAGCAAACAGCAGCAGCAGTACCATTAGTACTATAAAACACACCTAGTAGCTGCATAGTACAAATAATAAAGAGTAGAATTTCTGATAAAGAATGTACATTTCCCCCGCAGTTCTCCCGTTCGCACCAACACGGCCGTCAGCCACAAATGTAGCACCAAACAGCATCACCATCACGTGGCAAACCATTGGCTCCCACGTAGTGACGTCATTTGTGATCGAACACAAACTTAAGAGTGAAGATCAGTGGAAGTCCTCTTCTATTCGTGGTACAATGACCATGAAGATATCCAGCCTGCAGCCTTACTCCAAGTACCAGTTYAGAGTGTTTGCCGTGAACAGTCTCGGTAGAAGTGGGGCAAGTCCTGTGGCTGAGTTTACGACATCAAAGTCAAGTAAGTCRTTGGTTGAGAGCAGCTCGTTGGAGGGAGGGGCGGTGGAGCTTTATATGACAGTAGCGTTTGTGAGGGGGTAGAGAAGAAGACGAGTAAGTGTGTGAGACCATTTGCTAGAACTTTTTGTTTATATATTYGTATTTTTATCCAGAGCCCAGCAGTCCACCTATCAACATTACAGCCCGAGGCATCTCAGATACGTCTTTCCGTGCTGATTGGCTCCCCCCGCTGTCCCCAAACGGACCAATCAGAGGCTATCGTGTATATTACTCCCTTGACCAGAAGGAGGCATTCAGTCAGTGGCGCTTCTTGGCATCTGCCACCACTCAAGCAACGATATCTGGATTAACCAAGCAAACGACGTACTTCTTTAAGATAGCAGCATATAATAGCCTTGGGATGGGACCAACGTCTCAAGTCATGGCGGTCAAGACTCATAAAGGAGGTACTGATTTTGATAATGAT